CAGGAATGAGGATGGCTGGTGTGAGGGCGTTCTCAATGGAGTAAATGGATATTTTCCTGGCAACTATGTGGAGTCCACCGCTTAACTGGCCATAAGAAGCCAGAATGTCAGTGAATGAATTACTGAGACCGAAGGCACCTTGAATTTCTATTTCTAAAGTAAAACAGTGAAATCAGCTGTATGATTGAAACCACGGAAATGTTTTTATGCTATGTTGACCTTTTAAAACATTTAAAATGGAATTAACATGCTGACTGTTTCCAGCAGAGATGAGTTTGTATTTTAAAGTTTACTTTGGTCTTAAATAATGATGATCATAATTGATCTCTCAGGACTTTTTAAGTTATAATTGTAATGTACAACATATTAAGAAACTTTAGTTGTATTTGAAAAATTCACAAAGTCGTGTTAAATAGTGGATGTTTAGTGGTTAATTCTGTAAACATATTTTCATGGTTTGTTTGAATAGGCAATTGTGCAAAGTAAATAAAGAAGTAATATATAATAATAGATATGTGTAATATATTATAATGCACTTTCCTAATTAACAACCTTTATTACTTATGATAAATTACATTTAATTGGTAACATGTTCTTTATTCCCTTGCAAATATAGTATTTTCCCAAACATTTTATGTTATTTAGTGAAATAAATGTTAATGTACACCACATTGGCCCAATTCAGTCACAATTTCAATGTTTTATGATACCAACTTAGCATTTACAGTCCATCGGATCAATAAACTGTTGACGGTAATGTCTGGGAATGAAGTTGCATTTGTTTTATGTCATTTCTAACCATCCACTCTCTTTTCACTTTATTTATAAGATCATTTGACCTCTTCATTTTACATTTATGCATTTAGCAAACACTTTTATCCAAAGCGATTTACAAAAGATAAAACAAAAGCAGTTTGTCAAGGAACCAACAAAATTCATAATATACAATGGCAGGTTTATTTGACAACTAGATTAGAGTTCATTCATGGGGTTACTGGCTCATCAGCACCATTCTTAAACTTAAGTGTGTTTCTCTTTATTTCACATAAATGAAAGGGAAAATTCTGGGCAGATATAATTATGTATTTGGAGTGAGCACAGCTGTTTTGAACACTGAGGTACTGGAGTCACTACCAGGCATCTTAACTAGATTAAATAGTAGGGATGCACGATATATCGGCCACCATATCGGTTTCGGCCGATAAATGCTCATTTTTTCTGTTATCGGTATCGGCCCGATAAGAAAATTTGGCCGATATCTTAAAGCCGATAAATAATGCATTATTTCCTTCAGAGACACTTGACATGAGATGACTTGTTTGCATTATTTATGCATTATTTTATTTATTTGTAAGACTTTTTATGATGAAATTTGGTAATAGGAGAGTAACATTATTTTAACAACGTACACTGTTCAAACTAGGCTGCTTATGTTGAAGTGTTTGGGATGTGGCTTTTAATGATGAGACCTTTTTTATAATCGGGCTCTCAAAAAGTATATAAAAATTTGGATATAGATTTATCGGGCAACATATCGGTTATCGGCTTTCAAATAAAAAACAAATGATCGGTTATCGGTATCGGCCAAAATGTTCATATCGGTGCATCCCTATTAAATAGTAAGACTTTCTTGATCAGCTGTCTTTGCCAGAAAGATCATATTGATCCACCAGCTGTACCAAAACCAAACCAACACAAACCAGCCTGGACTTTGTAAGGAAGCTTTCACTTTTATCAGGGAGAGGCAGTATAATGATATAGGCAATATAATGCCTGTTCTTTAATGGTAAGGTAATTTAGGTAAATAAAAGACAAATAATGAAGCACACTGTTGATGGTGTACTCTTTTAGAAAAAAAAAGGTACTAAAAAACAAAACGGTCACTGGGTATGGTACCTTTTTAAGTGCTGCAAAAACAAAATGTCCATACAGGAAACACCTGTTATATAGGTACTGTGTCTTTAAACACCAGACAGTCACCATAAAAGTGTTCAAACTTCACTATCAGCACTTTAAACCCTCCCTCAGATAAGACTCAGTCTCAAATCAGAGCAGTGCATTCAACATCTACTTTATTGCCGTAATCACCTGTGTTCTCTGAGGTAAGACTTCTATTTGTTTTTCAGAGATGTGCTTGAAAACTTGCTGGGTATAAGAAGTAATAATTTTACTAACTACATAAAATGTGTATGATGTTCACCTATGCTAGTAGAATATCACTGACATGTGACTGGGCTTGTATAAATATACTGATCTGTAGGCTTTTTAATAATGTTCAAGGCAGTTTTTCGACAGCTTCAGTGTTTGTATATTAGCAAGCGTTTTGTGACTGTGATTCCTTTGTTGGCTGGAAAGGACAGGTGAGGTCTAAAACACTGCTGGCAGTAAGTGAAAATGGGAGAAATCAACATGGCAGCTGTTGTTTTATGGTGTCAATTGAAGTGTTTCTTGATGGGTGTTGAAGGGGTGCTGCTCTAACATATAGGCCTGCCCTACAGCAAGGCGTTCACAAAACTTTACAGGGCCTGGGACAAAATTTTTAGTCCACTTGGGCCCAATGAGTAAGCTATCCCATATAGATGACATTGGTGGCCCTCAGCAACAGCCTTGACTTATAGTAAAAGACCAGTTATGAATGGAAAAGCTTGTTCTTTACTTTAGAAAATGTATCTGACCTCCAAAGAGTTTGAAACATATTTCAATACTCAATATTTCAATACTCTTTTATATTTTGCTTTATAACTGTGGGTTGTTATCATTTATCTGTCCTCAATACAGAATTGGGACATTTCCGGTTAGCGTCACTGTCTTGACTCATTAGGTTACAAAAGTTTATTATGGGGGTTAAATATTCACACATTGATTTTCAAAGGTCTATGAATTGCAAAATTCTTTATTTACTTACCATTTACTTATTAAATGATATACAAGCCTTGTGGAATTCCAGATTTCTAAGAGAAACGAATAAAATGAGGGTTTTTGCAAAAAAAGATGCATTTCAACAAAGTACTGTACAATATAAATTTGCCTCTTAAATGGTTGAGGTATGAAAGGCTATTATATTTGATAGTTATATCAAGCCCTTGCCTGTCCAGTCCACAATGAATTCAATATTATATGTATATTAATGATTATATACAAATTAAATGTCATCATCCAAATATAATTTGTTTATTTCCTAACAGTTGCTTCTGAATTGTGAATTTCTTCATTGCCATGGAGAGGAGTGATGATTCATTTTTAGTATTTAAGTATGTATACCGACTTTCAATACTCTTTTATAAAACTGAACACACATAAGATCTGTTCCAAAACCATACAAATGTATGTTATTTTGTGTGTGTGTGTATATATATATATATATATATATATATACAGTATATATATATACGCACAATAATGTACAATTAGTATACTATATATTGTGACTTTTAAATTATAAGTAGCCCATGTAAATAATGCATTATTTAATTTGGTGGTAGATGTTTAATAAGAAATCAATTAATTACATCAATGAAACAAATATTTCATATTAAATCAATAATAAATCAATAAATGGACAGAAAGAGAGAAACACTTGGCAATATGACTGTATGCAATTATATAACCTTTGCTCCAAATCACAGGAGCACACATGCTCACACTCATGCTGTATCTTAACACAGCTCAATCGATGTTGTTTCAGGATCTTCGTACCTATCGTAACCTTTGTTTTTTTGTCGATCTGCTGTGCTGGCTGCTGTAAAGTATTCCAGCGAGTTCGTAAGGAGCGCGTGGAGCATGTGCAGACTCAAGTTCGAGCCGTGGATCAACCGTCTGTCTACGTCATTCCCATCTCTCTGTCTGAAGATGAGCTGCACAGACCACCGCGCTACAGCACTGTACAGTTCTACGAGCCGCCCCCTGCTTATCACGAGGTAACCCTGAAGATATTGTGGAAAACACTGTAAAACAATTCAGTGGCTTTGTAAATACATGAATAACTTAAAGAAATAGTTCACCCAAAAATGAAAAGTCTGTCATCATTTACTCAAGTTGTTCCAAACCTGTATTGAGTATCGTTCTTCTGTTGAACAGAAATATATATATATATCTGACTGAATTTTATAGTATGAAAAAAATCTATGAAAGGCAATGTGCATCAGAAACTGTTTGGTCTTCAAAATATCTTATTTTGTGTTCAATGGAAGAAAGAAACTCGTACAGGTTTGGAACAACTTGAGGGCGAGTAAATGATGACAGAATTTTCTTTTTTTTTTTTGGTGAACCTTAGTGTCCTAGATTGTTTGAGTTGGAAATACCAAATACCAATGTCTAAAAATCGAACAGAAAAGAAATTAGTATTTGACTAACTACATATATATATATATATATATATATATACTTTTTTAAGATAAACTTCATATTTTTGTTAAATTCAATCAATATATTATGTAATCAAAATAGCCTACCGACCAGTTAGACAATTATTACTTATTTCAATATTTTTTGCCTTTAACAACAACTTATAAAATATATGTGTGCTATTGCTTGCTAATAATCATAGCTGCATTTTTAATGTATTCAAATTAATATATACAGTATATAGTCTTTGCTCTAATGTTTGAGTCAAATGAACTTTTTGGGTCTTATAGTGCACTTAGTTGTATTTGTCACGGTACCAAAAGTAGTTATTCTTTACTACTTTTATTCAATTTTCATTTATTCAATTCATAAGGTATATGGATTCATTGATTTCACAGCTTTAAAGTGTACTCCGTATTTTAAAGTGTATAATGTTTCACCAAAAAAAAAAAAAAAACATCAAGCACACCAGTACATTAAGTTCAAGTTGTCAACACCATCATTTAAAATATCTTGTCCTGAAATGTTTAAATGAGCTCTTTGTCCTCACTGGTAATGATGATTAATTCCTGCTTCTGCAGTTGAATCTGAAGCCCGAGGCCTTTCCTGTGGAACCCCCTCCTGCATATTCAGAATCTGTCTCTCCTTCACCCTCACATTCATGATCATAAGCGCATCTCAAGCACTTGGACTGGTTAAAGGAAAAATAAGAAGCAACGTCATATTCTCATGACTTTTCCAAGTACTACTCATGCTACCTATGCAAAGGTTTAAATGGTGAGAAAGATAATGTCACAGTTATAATAATCTGTGACTCTGTTGGGATTTTGAACATGTCCTACAGGCTCACAAAGACAGTTTTGCACAATGAGCAGCAGAACTTGGTTAAAGGTTTAAAAGTATATATGTTTTGTGAATATTTATCAATTTTGTACATGCTATAGCTAAACTTTTTTTGTTAACTTTGTGAAAATGTGTTCATTTATAAGAAATGTTGTAAATGGTTGACCTGTTGAAACTGTATGATTAAAATAATGTTGTATAAACACTGGCTCTTAATAATATCCTCAATATATACCTGAGAATATGTTAATGTTATCGAGAGATAAGAAACGATGTGTAGTATAAGCCATCTTTCTTACTGTCACTCTTCATAGTCAACATGCCTCCTGAGCTGCACCCTCAGGAACCAAAGACCAGAGCATTACCACTGCCACTGCCCTCATGGTCCTACACAGACATAAGCCAATGCATTTATTATAACTCATAAAATATGAACCATATAGTTAAAACAACACCTTTGGAGAATTCACAGCTTTGGCTATTTATGAAGGTGCATTGACAGTTAAATACACACACAGTCACATAAGTGCAATTTTGTTAGTAAACAGAATATGTAAAATCAAAAGATAAAAATAAATACATATATATATATATACAAAATAAAATAGAAAAATGCAACATAAAAGCATAGTTTTTCTATCTACCTCTTCAAACACTTTAATGTCAGCAAAGGTTATATAATTGCATACAGTCATATTGCCAAGTGTTTCTCTCTTTCTGTCCATTTATTGATTTATTATTGACTTAATATTAAATATTTGTTTCATTGATGTAATTAATTGATTTCTTATTAAACATCTACCACCAAATTAAATAATGCCAATTCATTATTTACATGGGCTACTTACAATTTAGAAATAATATTTTATAACTTAAGAAAATATAGGATGATGATAATCAAACTGCATCATTTCAGAACATTTCAGTTTGTGGCATGTTTTATATTATATGCAAATCCAAGAGGCTTGAGAGTTCTAGATTAGAAAACATGCTTAAATAATCAATTTTTACTATCATCCTCATTTCTAATGCCACGTAATCTATAGAAGTGTAAAAGCTTTTACTGTGCCCGTGTTGTAAGTGCAATGGAATTATGGTTGCATTGGAATGTTTATTGGTACAAAGGTCTACATTAGTACTGTACCTGTGCATCACGACTTACGTAGACTATTGTAGACATCACGTCTTAACTCGGTGGAAAAAAAAAACATAAAACACGCCCATGTCATCATATCTTCACATGACTAAAATATTCTCAGAAATGACACCAATGATCTGCCGTCATCCACTTCTACTATATGACCAATAGAAGCATAAAAAGGTAGCTATTTCCTGTTTGCTTGTGGTTTACTGGATAAAACATGTTTTTGAAATATGAAAATTGAATAAAGTATTGAATATACAAATGGAAGACTGTGGGTCCAGTGAGGTAACTTCATGCATGGCCTCTCACTGTTTTCTCAGAGATACTGGGTCAATAAAAGTAAATGGCTGAAAATATATGAAGTGCAAGGTCAACTTGGCCTGCTGCAGAGAATGACTTGCTTTCAGGCTATAAATTATCTTCTCTTAATGAACAGTTTGGCCATTTTAAACATTTCTGCTTTCATACAGTATCTGCATTTCTACAGGTTATCTAAGAAGTTGCCTCTTTACCAGAATACATCCTGTTTTCACCTCCACACGTGTGGGAAGATAAATCAGGTTAGTGAGGGGAGTGGCAATAAGGAGTTGCATAAATAAATACACATATTTTTTGCATAAGTGAGTTCAAGGAAGAAGATTTTTTTTATAGACTATACAGGTTAAGGATTAGTTCACCCAAAAATGAAAATTCTGTCATCAGTTACCCGCTCTCATTTCATGCCAAATCTGTATGTGACTTTGTTCTCTTGAGCACAAAAGAAGGTATTTCGAAGAATGTTGGCTGATGGTAGCCACTGACTTCCATAGTATGGGGGGAGGGGGTGGAGTAAACACTAGGAAGTCAGCACTACTGTCAATTTGGTTATCAACATTCTTCAAAATATTTGCTTTTGAGCTCAAGAGAAGAAAGAAACACACAGGTTTGGAATGACATGAGAGAAGTTTAATTTTTGGATAAACTATCCTGTAACATACTGTGGAGCCGTGAGAGGATTTAGAGCTAGTTTTATAATAATAATTATTATTATTATTTTAATGAAACGCACATAACATGCAAATAGTTTGTCATGGTAGGCCTATCTGATTGGCCAAGAAACACCTGTTAATCACTGTGCATGCGTTCCATAGATTGTTTGACTGAAAACTTGTGTCCTTAATATTTGTTAATATTTAGTTAGCATTTTATAAAATACACTCGGGGTTATGCTGTATTATTATATTCATGGTTAAAGAAGTTGCAGCTACTGTAGTGAGACGTACAAGTACTGTATTCACAGTATACCGTGGTCTCTCGTAACTTATGCTTAAAGGGTTAGTTCACCCAAAATGAAAATTCTGTCATTAATTACTCAGCCTCATGTCGTTCCAAACCCGTAAGACCTTCGTTCATCTTCAGAACACAAATTCAGATATTTTTGATGGAATCTGAGAGCTCTCAGACCCTCCCATAGACAGCTACGACATTACCACAATTAAGGCGTAATGAGAGTTGTTTACGTTCAGTAGACAGCGTGCGCATGCTGAACGTAAACAGCGCTCATTACGTTGATTACGTTCTGGAGTACTCTCCAAAATAGCGGAAAACGGTAATTCGAGGAGAAGAATTATTCAATAAATTACGATATTATTGTTTTCTTTGCGCACAAAAAGTATTCTCATAGCTTCGTCAAATATACGGTTGAACCCCTGATGTCACATGGATTATTTTAAGATGTCCTTCTGTGCATTGATCGTAGTAATATCCTTGCTGTCTATGGAGGGTTTTTGAGCTCTGGGATTCCATCAAAAATATCTTAATTTGTGTTCCGAAGATGAACGAAGGTTTTACGGGTTTGGAACAACATGAGGGTGAGATAATTAATGACAGAATTTTCATTTTTGGGTGAACTATCCCTTTAAATCAAATGGAAAACCAAGCCATTCCCTCCAAATAATCAAACTTTTAATAAAGACTCATTTATAGTCTCTAACCCAGTGATGGGCAAACTTGGCCCTTCCAGGCCACTTTCCTGCAGAGATTTGGTCCAACCCTGATAAAACTCACCTGCCTGTAGCTTTCTAGTAGTCTTGAAGACAATGATTAGCTGGTTCAGGTGTGTTTGATTAGGGTTGGAGCTAACCTCTGAAGGAAAGTGACCTGGAAGGGCCAAGTTTGCCCACCCCTGGTCTAAACAATACATTTTTATCAATACCGCAACTTGGTTTGTAGACAGAATAATGATATTTAATTTAACAATTCATGTACCTCGATGTTGGTCGGATTTCGGATGAACATCATCGTGTTGCTCTGCCACACACTTATTGGCATACATACAGCATCTGAAGTGAATGTATTTGTGGGACACACTCTGCCCTCTGCTGGTGAACACGGTTAAATAATATTCTCAGGATAAAGTAGGGCTGGACGACGCGACTGTGAACAAACAATTATGTGAGCTGATCTGAATTTAAAATGATAAATCGGTTCATATCTTTATGTTTCCCTTTCGCAGACAGAAAAACACAATATATCATAGGACAACATTAGTTAATTTCACGTTTACTTTTAAATATAATTCTGAAATTTCTTATTCAGAAATCTTAAAAATTACAGATTTATATGGATGCTACTTTAGTTACATTCATATTTAACAAAATGATCAACCAGTGACAGAAGCTCTTAAAGCCAGTGTGTCCAAAACTACAGGCACTTGCCACACAAATGCCACAGGGCCATGCTAACTGAAGACAAAACAACCTAGTCCTTGACTAGGTCACATTTAGATTGTAAATAAATGACTGTCTCTGTAATCTGCTGAAGATGTTTATCCCATTCATTGAGAATGAAGTCTAGTTCTTGTCTGTGTGGAATCAGTGTCAATCTGGACAGTAAAGTTAATTCATTAGCAACACAGATATTGAAGTTAAAAGGTGTATAAAATGATGTCCGTATTTTTTTTCTGACTTTGATTGTTAAATCCATTTAATTAATGATTCATTTATTAACACATTATTTCCCCAAACATTTTATTTCAGAAATCAGGCAATTTACAGATTGTTCTTTTAATCATTCATTGATTTTGCACATGAAACATGACTACTATATACAGTATCTGCCTCTAGCTTATTCCATTATAAGTGTAATATCAATATCAAAACTTAAATCCTAACACCTCACACACAGATATAAATGATAAAAAAACAAATAAATAAACAATAGCTGCCAATATTCAAGCCAAATATCATTGGCATGAATGATAATCAGTGAAAATAAATTTAAGAATATTGAAGAATGATCATTCGTAATAAAAAAGTAGAGAGAGTTTGTCTGTAAGAAAAAGAGATATTTTCATCCAATAAGCATATACAGCATTAGAATAAATTGCTGCGAATAAGAGCAGATACACAGATTACATGCAGTCACAACATTTTACACTGACAGCGTGTACATAGATATTTATATAAAGGTCTTAATGCCATGCTCTATCACTGTTCTTCCCTTCAATTCACAGGTTCTTGTCCAATTTAAGTGTAAAAATGAGGTTTAGTTCAAATCAATAAATAAATATGTATATTGTTTCTATGTATATTGTATATCTGAAGTCAATGATATGCTGCATTCAGTGACCTTCTGCACAGTATATTGTGTGCAAATATTATCTGCCCGCTGTTTCTGTTACTCAGTGTGCTTTCAGTCTGTATATGATCACATTTCCATATATACCTGTGCTAAATTCAGAAAAAATAGTGCTGTAATGTGGATGTATATGAAAAAAAAACAAACTGTACAAAAGTCATGTGCCTGATACAACAACAGGAGCTGAGCAAAATAGAGCCTTATAATAAAAATATAATTCAGAGATGAAACACTGTCCGATCATCTACCTCCTATGCTAACAGAATTTATGTAGGCCTGTACTAAACTGTGGATTTGAAATTTAAATCATTTTTTTTAAATGTAACTTGTTAAATATACGTGAGAAGCAAATCTGCATAAGATTTGTTTTTAGAGAATACATACTATCATTCAAAATTTGGGATCGATTCAGATTTTTTTTTTTATTTTTTTTTTTTTAGTTTCTTATGCATATCAAGGCTGCATTTATTTGATAAACAATACAGCAAAGCAGTAGCAGTTGTGTAATATTATTACAATTGAATATGTTTTTAAGTTTTTATTTTAAAATGTCATTTATTCCTGTGATATTAAAGCTGAATTTTCACCATTATTACGCCAGTCTTCAGTGTCACAAGATCCTTCTGAAATCATTCTAATATGCTGCTCAAGAAACTTATCTTATTATCAGTTTTTGTGGAAATCGTGATACATTTTTTTGGGTTTAGAAAGTTCAAAAGTACTGCTTTTATTTTAATAGAAATATTTTGTAACATATAAATGTCTTTACTGTCACTTTTAATAAATTATTCAAGTATTAATTTATTAAAATATTACTGACCCCAAACTTTTGAACAGTAGTTCAAGTTTGATCTTTTTTGTTTGTTTGTTTTAACCCAATAAATCTAACAACCTTTTGAAAAGGTTACATTTAAACAAACAACAACAACAACAAAAAAACTATTTATCAATTATAAATTCAAGATATATTCTGCAAAATATAGTCTTGTCTTACAGGTTTGCTTCTGAAATAAATGTATCTTTTTCTTTGAGAGACTACTCTTTTTAACTCAATTGTTAAAAGATGTTCAGATATTTTGTGTAAAATTAAAGAAAAAATTCTCAAATTTCAAAAAACATCTGAACTGAAACTTGAATGTTTACTGTAAACAAAAATATGAGACTGTAGTTAAATTCTGACACGAGTTATCTATAACCTTATCAGTATGTTGCTGTTTTTGTAAAGGGTAGATGCTGATTTCACACACTCACACACGCACTCATATAAGCTCTCTGATCAGTGTACACCCTTGGCACGAGGTTGATGATTTAAACCAGTTAACACTGGTATAAAGTGTCACATGAATCATCCACTAGTTGCTGTACTGAGCTCTAAAACACCCACCCAACCGGAACCCACTGCTGAGCTCCCTTTAACTTCTCTAAGGAGGATTTGAGGTTCCTGTATGCTTGTTCCAAATCGTCGTTTACTATGGTGAGGTCGAAGTAGTGTCCGTACACTCTCTGAATCTTGCCGCTCTCATCCACCGTCCTATTCAGCTCTGCGTCCTGTTGAGAAGAGACAGATGAAGATTTTTAGGATGGGCAAAACTTGAGTTTCAAGAGAACCATGTTTAGTATACAGCTACTAAGTGGGACTTAAAGGGATAGATCACGCAATGAAAATTACCCCATGATTTACTCACCCTCAAGCCATCCCTAGGTATATATGACTTTCTTCTTTCCGATGAATACAATCTGAGTTATATTAAAAAATGTCCTGGCACTTCCAAGCTTTATAATGGAAGTGAATGGGTGTTGAAATTTTGAAGTCCAATAAAGTCTGTGTCAGGGTTCTGTCACTTCGGTCTAGTGTTATTCATGGTTTTGTGACAGAGCCCTGACACTCCCGCCATGTCTTGTTTTCATGTGAGCGCACGGCTTCGAGAGTGCTCGAGCCGTGCACTCTCGTCTGCGTGTCCTGTTTCACGTTGGAGTGTGGTGTTCGGATCCCGGCACTCATGTCTTGTTGAGTTTCGGTTTCGTGTCGGGGTCCGGACACTTGTGCTCCATGTTCTTTCTTGTTGTGGGAGCGTGCGGTCTCGAGTTCGCTCGGCCGTGCACTCTTCTGTCCACGTGTGTTGTGTTTTGTGTTGCACATGGTTTGTGTTCGGCCGCGTGCTTTTCTTGTTGTCTTGTGGTGTTGTTGCACGCAGCTCATGTTATCAGCTGTGTGCTTTTCATGTCCTGTTTTGTCTTGTGCTGTGTAGCACGCAGCTTGGTTTTCGCTGGCTGCATGCTGTCTTGTCTTGTGTGAACACGCGGCTTATGAGTTTTCTCATTAGCTGCGTGTTCGTGTCTTGTTTCGTTCAAGCACATGGCTTGTGATTGTTTTGCTGGCCATGTGCTTGTGTTTGTTTTCTGTGAGCACATGGCTTTTGTCTTGGTTTCCTGTGTGCCATGTGCTCTCATGTCAATTGTTTTGACCCCACCCATCTTGTTAAATGATTATTGGTTAATTTGCCCCACATGTGTTCCCTCGTTACCCTCCTCATTTGCTCTCTATTTATTCTCCTTGTGTTTGCAGTCCCGTGCCAGTTCGTCATCGTATCAAGATCTAATGTATCTTGTCGCGTAATGTCCTGTCCTGATCCTGCCTTGCCAGCCTGTTTTTCCCCCATGGGGTAGCTTTTGTTGTTTGTTTTGTTTTATTTTTCTATTAAAAGCCCTAATTCCTCCTGCAATTGAGTCCTCGCCTCATCCCTCTACCCAAACCTTGACACGC